AAATAGCAGTGCTGCGCTAGAGTTTATATGAAAATAACACGTTGGAGTTTCAAAAGCGACATTTTGGAGCTGGCCCTGGAAGTGGCCGTTCTTTGTTGGAGTTCATATAGAATTGACACTTTGGAGCTCCGAAAGCGACATTTTGGAGCTGGCCTTGGAAGCAGCCGTGCTTTACTGGAGTTTATATAAAAATGGCGATTTGCCATTTAGAGCTCCAAAAGCGACATTTTGGAGCTGGCCCTGGAAATGGCCGTTCTTTATGAGAGTTTATGGCAAAATGACCCATTTTAACTCAAACGCACTTCGACCTCCAAAAGCGACACTTTGGAGCTGGCCCTGGAAGTTGCCGTTCTGTGCTAGAGTGTGTTTAAAAAAGGACACATTTCAGCTCAAGATTGGAAGCTCAAAAGCGACATCTTGGAGCTGGCCCGGCCAGTGGCCATTTTATCAAGGCCAATAGCCATTTTATCAAGGCCAACGGTCAAGGCCAATGGCCGTTTTATCAAGGCCAATGGCCCCCGATCTTGGGGGAGAGGGCAAGCTCCGGGAAGTCCCAGGAGCCACAGGAAGCTCCGCAGCTCCGGGCAGCTCCGGAAGCCTGAAGAAGGAGCCGGGAAGCCGGGTGGCTTTGAAGCTCCGGAAAGCCTCCGGGAAGCTCTGGGAAGAGCTTTCAGGATGAGGAGGCAGCCTTGCAAGGGGCCGCGTAAAGAAGTCTATAAGGAGCCTTATAAAGAAGTCAAGGAGCCTTTATAAGGATGCCCGCTATAAGGAGGCTTATAGGAGCCCTTTATGAGGAGGCTTTATAAGGAGGCTCCCTTTCCAAAAGAAAACTTCCGGTATCTGTTAGGGTCCGGGACCTTAGGTTTTAGGGTACTATAATATAGGAGCTACCGCTCCATATTTTAGTGCTGTCAGCACAGGTCACCTCTTATGATCGCATCAAGAGCGAGGACGGAGCAGGAAGCTAACTCTTCCTGCTCGCCTTGTCAGGAGTCAGGGCAGCTAGACGCAGCCGGGTCGCTAAGCGCGCCCTGCGCTCGCGATGCTACGACGCTCTAGGCGAGCGGGACAACATCGCGAGCTTTAGTTTAGGGTGTGCAGATGTGGTTGCTCGCTCGGGGATAAAATCCCCCAAGCCGCTCGCTTCGCGTAGCCAAGTTCGCCCGCCCCAGCCACCCAAGGTACAGACTTTTAGGGTTTAGGGTTCCATTCGAGGTGGAACCCTTGAACGGGTTCCAAGCCAACCTGAAGCAGCTGGGCTGCCAGCTGCTTGCCTCGCTAAGCTTCTAGCCTGCGCAGGCGTGGGTCGCGCTGCGAAGCGCTAGTCCTTTTTTGAGTTGCCCAGCTTGCGTAGGCCGCAGGTTCCACGCGAGCGCGTTGCGCGCTGCGCTGGCCTGGGCGCGGGCTGCGGCGGCAAGTACCATGTAGACGGCGTCTACATAATCCTCAGCGTCCACAAGGCGGGCGGACGACAGAGCGCGTGGAGTTGCCCAGACTTGCGCAGGCCGCCAAGCGCCGCGTAGACGCCGTCTACCTGATCCTGCTGCGTTTGCCTGAGCGTGGGCCGCGGCGGCAAGCGCCATGTAGACGGCGTCTACATAATCCTCAGCGCCCACAAGGTGTTGCTTCGCTAACCTTTTCCTACGCAGGTGTGGGTCACGCTGCAAAGCGTGGAGCTGCCAAAGCGCCAAGACCGGCTGCCCAAACACGCGCGGGCCAAGCGCGCAAGCAAGCCGCAGAACTGAGCGTGTCAGGCGCTGCGCTTGCGTGGGGGTGACCTGTGCGCACGCTTCGCCGCTTTGTCTGAAACAAGGAAATCAACAGCGCGAGAAGCAAGATCGACAAGGGTCCTTGTGCTCGGCGTGCGCTCCAGCCAGCTGGGGCAGGTCCCCCGTGTTACCCGCACGCAAAAGTTAGCAGCAGAACAAGAAAGGATCCGCCAGGCTCCTTGTGCTTGGCGTACACCCCCCCCCAGCCGGGGCAGGCCCCCATATTACCCGTATGCAAAAGTTATCAGCAGCGCAAGAAGCGGCCCGCCGTGTACCCCCCCCCAGCCGGGGCCGTAGCCAAATGGTGCAGGCTTTAGGGTAATCCTATATTGGCTGCGCCAAAGGGTGTGGGTCGTGGCGCGACTTGCAGAGCCGCACAGCGGTTGTCCTGCTAGGCTTGACCCTAGCAGGCCCTCAGGTTCGCGCTGGCGTCTCGGGTTGACCTCAAGCCCGAAGGCTCGCATGCCCATGTATATGGCCAGAGGCATGCTCGCCTGTTTAGGGTTTAGGGTTTAGGGTTTAGGGCGTCCTATAGTGCCACGGCAGCGCCTCCCCCCATGGAGTGGAAGGGGAGGCGCGCCGTTTTGTATTGGGGAGCCCACCCCAGCCACCCAAACTTGCACCTTTTAACGGGTTTAGGGTTTGCCCTCAGACGCCGGGCAGGCTTAAAATTCCGGCTCTTCTCGCTGTTTAGTTTTTAAGGAGACGGAAGTTCGCAAGAGCGATCGCCCGAAAGAGACAGGGGCGCGCGCGCGCTCGCTGCGCGGCAACGCAAAATCGTTTTTTTTCTCGAGGAAGCAGTCGATTCGGCGGACGCGTTTTTTGTTTCAGATTGCCGCACCGCGACTGGCGGGGGCGCCGAGCAAAGACTGTCCCCCCCGCTTGCTTCGGCGTGCTGGGGCGTCATCCTCGCCTCGCCGCGGCACGCTCGCTTGCTTCGGCGTAGAAAATTAGCCGCCGGCTCCGCGGCGGGCCGTCGCCCCCCGCGTTCTCACCTCATAGTCACGGGGGCGAAGTGCTGGGGCGTCAAGTGGCCGCCGAGCAAGTAGGAGCGTGCGTTCTTGACGCGGCTCATGGCCGTGTAGCCAACGGCGGGCATATTGGGCGCGTCAAGATAGATGATAATGAAAGGAAACTCGTCGCCCTGCACCTTGTGCACCGTAGTGCAATAGCCCTTCGGGCTAAAGCGAGCCACAAAAAACGCATTTCCACGCGCAAAGCAAAATTGTCGCGTCGCTTCAGCCCAGATTTTCCAAAACCGCTTGAGCCCGGAACCTAGAAGGGCTGCGGGGAGCGAAGCCAAAGGCTCGAGAAAGTTCGCAGGAACGGCTTCCCGGAAGCCCGGAGACCGAAGGCCAAGCGGCGCGGGCTTGGCGGCTTTGGCGGCGTCGCCCAGAACGAAGGCGATCTGAAAGCGTCGCCCAGAATGGCCTTGGGGGCGTCGCCCAGAATCTGGGCGACCTGAAAGCGTCGCCCAGAATCTGGGCGACGCCGATTTGGGTCAATGTCGGCCCTCGTCAGGCCAGCCGCGGGGGCCGCTCGGAGGGCCGGAAATCAGCTAAAATAGAAGGCGGGGGCTAGCCCCGGAAAAACGCGCAAACGGCCCGGGCCCGGGCCGGACCCCGGGCTTAAGGTGGGCCGTGGAGCCAATCTAAGGAGCAGAAACGTCGTTTTTTACAAACTCATAGGTTAGGAGCGAGAGTCACTGCTGAAGCGCGTGAGAGTCCATACGGTAGACTCCGCCGCCAAGGCGACCGGGAAGGAAGCCTGGCGTTGGACAAGGAACCGGAAGACTTTAAGGCGGGTCAGGTCCAGTGCGGAGGCAGACTCAACTCCTGGGAGGGGCGGGGGGCGCCGCTCACATGCCGGGCATGCACGTCGTTGCAGGTTTGCACTTTTGCAAGTTTCGCTTTTGACGCACGGACGGGGCAACAACCTTGTCGGGAAAGATGTTTTGTTTCGTCCGATCGCCAAGTTGGCCGTCCGCCTGCCCCTGTCAGGACCCGCTGGGCGGCCGGAGACCGCGGCCGCGCTGGGCAGTTGGAGAGGACCGGCTCTCGTCGGGGGGCAGGGTGGTCTATTGAAACTTATGCTCGGGCCCGCTAATCGTTTTCCAGACGGGGCCTCCACCAGACAAGCCAGACTAGGGGTCCTTGGCGTTTTTCAGACTAGGCGTCTCCCAGAGTCTGGGAGACGGGTTTGGCGTCTCCCAGAGTCTGGGAGACGCGACGGTGGTCTCCCAGAGTCTGGGAGACGCCCAAAAGAAGGCCCCGGGAGCCAGTAGGCGGCCCGGATTTCCGGCCTTGCGGCTAGCTGAAAACACTAGCAAAACGCTAGGAAAGCGCTAAAAAGCGGCCGGCCAGAGCCGCGAAAAAAGCCGCCCCGGGCCCCGCGTCCCCCAGAGCCAATCTAAAGACGAGAAAAACGCGCGGTTTTCAAAACATTAAGGTTAGGAGCGAGAGCAGCTGTGGACGCGTGTAAGAGTTCAGACGGCGCCGCTTAGCTGTCCCGGGCGGCCGAGAAGGAAGCCCGGCGTCAGACATAGGCGACGGAAGACTCTAAGGTGGGTCAGGACCATCGCGGAAAGCAGGCTCAACTCCTCGGCCCCCCACCAAGCCGGGCATGCCCTGCAAACTAGAACAACACGAATGGTTGAAAGCTTTCTTGGTTCGTTGCAAGGGGCTGCGTTTGCCGTCCGCCGATCGGTCGCTCGCCCGCCCCCTGACAGGACCCATGCCGGGGCGGCTGGAGAACACCAGCCTCGGCGACCGCGGCCGGCAGCTGAGGACGTCCCATCCTTCAGCAACCGCGCGGGGCGGCGGCTGGAGAAGGAGCCCTTCGGAGGCGTCCGCTGAGTGGGCCGGCAGTCTCACTTCGTCTCACATTTGGTTTTTAACATGCCTGAACCAGTCGATAAGACTTATCCAGAGACACTGTCGATTGTTTCAGGACAGCAAGACAAACGCGATCAAGAGAAAACAGGAAAGAGGGAGCCAGGGGCAGTTAGGCGCGGCAAGTTCAATGTTGGCAACCGCTCAAGCAATTGACAAATTTCATTTGAGGTTTTGACTCGGGCTGATGAGAAATAATCGCTTGCAAGGCAGAGACTTGAGGCAGCTTGACATCAAATCAGTGAATTATCTAGTCGCTCGACAAACCAACATTGAACCGCCGCAGCCTTTCCGGTCAAAGCTCGAAGCCCTAAGTTGCAAAGACCTTAGACAGCCGACCATGCCGTGGGCGGACAAGAAGAGCGGCGACAAGAAGAAGCGCGACAAGGACACCGACAAGGCGCCCGCCAAGGTCTTGGCCTGCAAGGAGTGGCACTTGCCGCTCAAGGCCCTCCTGCGCGCCTACCCGGACGAAGCGGGCTGCGTCTTGAAGGTCGGCGGCGGCAGCGTCCGAGAGGCGCTGGCTCCGAAGAACCTCCGCAAGAAGCTCAACGCCGAGAAGTCCGAGCTCATCAACCGGCCCGCCATGGGCCTCAACCTTGCGGCCGCGGCCCTCGAGGCCGGCATGGAGGCGGCCGCTGCGGAGGACCTCTTCGGCGACTTGGGCCTGCCGACGCTCCTCGAGAAGCTGGGCGGCGCGGAGGGAAAGAAGGCGTTGCAGCTGACCCAGAAGGGGGCGAGCGCGGACAAGGACAAGGTGGCCTGTTCGAGTCGCTGGAGGGCGCGGAGGACGGCAGGGAATTCGTGGGTAAGGCGATCGCGAAGCTGGCAGACGGGGCCTCGCGGCTCCTGGCCGCGGCCGTTGCAGCCGCCGAGATGCGGGCCGCGCTCTCGGACCTCAAGGGCTGGGCGCAGAACGTCCCGCGGCCCGACCAGCAGGCGCCGAAAATCCAAGCCTGGACGGCAAAGCCGTCGGACGAGCGGCTGCTCGTCCAAGGGATGGCGAGTGCGCTCTGCAGCCGCTTCTACTGGGGCGGCGACCGGCGGACGAGGCGCTTCGGTGCGAAGTCCGCGTCCAAGTCAACCACTCGGAGGGCGGCAGCGGCAGCGGCGGCAGCAGCGGCGACGGGAAGATGAAGAAGCGAGGCGGCGAGAAGGAGAAGAAGAGCAAGAAGGACAAGGACGAGAAGCGGAAGGAGAAGAAGCGCAAGGCGGTCAAGAGATCGTCCTCGTCGCCCGCCCCGAAGCGGGCCAGGAGGCAGGAGAACGCCGCGGAGGCCGCCCAAGCCGCGGAGGACGCGCTCCTGGCCGAGCTGGAAGAGGCGGCGCCGGATGCCGCCTTGGTCAGCTGGCGCGAGAGCGACGTGGCTCTCGCGCTTGCGGGGCGGACCAGATCACGACGCAGCCCATCTCGGAGGAAACCCTGGGCCTGCTCAAGGCATTGTTTGCCTTGGTTCCGGAGGAGGTGCGGACCGCCCACGGCCTGCAGAAGCTCCAGACGGCAGTGGAGGCCATGAGCAAGGCGCCGGCCCGGGGGCCCTTGAACAAGATCGCGGGCCGGGTGAGAGAGGTGTCCGAGGCGGCGGAGGCGCTGCGCGCGGCCCACGCCCCGGAGAGCAAGCCAGCGGAGTGAGCAAGGCCGGCTTCCTAGCTTCCCGGCAAAGACTTATCCACCTGTAGACACTAGCTGGGGCAGCAAGATTGAACTGAGCCGCGAGCAAAAAAAGCCGCGCGGCAGCGAACCTTGGAAGGGAGAGCGAAGACAGAGGGCTAGCCAAGGGGTCGGAAGTCAGCAAGCGTCCCGGGCAGAGTTTGCTTGAGCCACACTCGTTGAAACATTGACTGCTGGCTGAGAACTTGTTACGCGCGCCGACGCGTTTCAAAGAATCAAATCAGAATCCACCCTAAGACGAATTCCGAACGCTCGCCGCTGAGCAATGGCCTGCTACTACGCTTGGCGCGGAAACCTCGTCTACGGCATCTACAGGCGGATGGGCGGCTTGCGCAGCCGCGCTGAGGTGAGCGAGCTCTTCGACCAGGTGACGGACCTTTCGGAGTACAAGACTATGGTCGGCGGCTGGATGGAGAAACTTCTGGAAGAGGAGGGTCGGACGCCCGGCACTATGGTGCTGGACTGCCTCAAGCACCCAGTTGGTCGGATGACTTGGGACCGGTGGGTCGACAGCATGGTCACGGAAGTGGACGAGGCGGAGGCAGCAGAGGGCGGCCGCAGCCGGCGTGGAGCGAGAGCCGGGAGAGGCGGGGGACTTTGACGAGGGCGAAGGCAAGAGCAGACCGCAGAGGCGCCGGGCCCGGGGGAAGCAACCGCCGCAGCCCCACGAAACCGCGGAGGTCCTCGGCAAGAGCGACGCGCGGGCGGACGACCCCCTGGAGGCGGCCTTGGCGGAGCTCGAGAAGGTCGAGGAGCGGCCACCTGCGAAGAAGATCGAGAAGGGCGGCGCCAAAAAGCGCCCGGCCGGGCACGGACCGCAGCGGAAGCCGGCGGCCAAAGAGAGCCCGCGTCTTTGCGCGGGCCGCGGCGGCAGCCTGCCTTGCATCTACAACCTGCAGCAGCCAGGAGAGCGCGCCAACTACAACACGCGCGGCAGGGACAACCAGTGCGTCTTCTGCGACGACACCTTGATGCGGACGGCCTGCAGCAACGCGGCGGGCCGCAGCAACATCCTCGGCAACTTGAAGAAGCTCCGAGCGGCTTACGAGGAGAAGCCCCACGTCTACAACTCGGCCCTGCTTCGGACCCCAGACAGCTGCCGCGAGGAGCTTCACGCGAAGGCGGCGGCCGAGGTCCGGTCGAGGGCGGCAGCCCGGCAAGAGCGGCGGGCGCAGCCGAACATGGTGTCTGCGCGGGCCGCCAAGACCTTCTGGGCTGCGGCGCTGGCTTCCCGGAAGCGCGCCTGGCGCCCGCTGACCGCGGGGGAGGCCAAGAAGTACAAGAAGCAAGTCAAGGCCGACCGGAAGCGTGTCCAGAAGAAGTTCTTCGAAGCCCACGACATCGAGGCGCCGCCGGCAAAGGACATCGCGGACAACGACGCAGGGCTGCCGGCGCCCGCCCTCTCAGAGCAGGGCCGCTTCGTGGAGCTCTGGGCGAAGTTTGGCTCTTGGGGCATGTGCAAGGACTGCCGCTCGCTGCAGCCGCGGCGCTTGGAGCCCATCGACTGCCGCAGGGTGGCCAAGCCGGAGATTGCCCCGCGGGCCTGCAAGGCCTGCCAGAACGGCAATGGAGGACATCCCGCAGCCGCTGAGGGCACTCTCCAAGGAAGCCGTCAAGGCGCTTGGACATTGACGCGGGCCCTTACCGGCGCGCAGCCTACGGCTGGTGTGGGCGGCGGAGTCTGTCCCGGAGAAGATCCGGGAGCTGCCGCGGGACGAGAAGAGGGCGGCCCGGGCGGCCTACGACTTCCTGATGGAATGTGAGGAGTCGGCCTACAGCGATTTCGTGGAGAAGCACAACAAGTTCCTGTGCCGGGAAGGCGAGGAAGCACCGGAGCAGCGGCGGAAGCGGCCCCTTCAATTCCTGGAGACGCCCGGCCTGGAGAACGCGCTGTGGCCCAACCTCTACTGGACGGAGGCGATGTGCGAGACGGCCATCCGCGCCAGCGACGTCAGGAGGCAGCGGCGCCAGAGCGCGGCCGACCCAGCCCAGGACGTCGGAGGGCCGCGGCCAGAGCGGCATAGACGGCTCCGGCGCGCCGTTGTAGAAGACAGCGGCTCGGAGGAGGGCGAGGGCGAGGACAGCGGGCGCCAGAGCATCAAGAAGTCCTTCATGAAGAAGGTCCTTGGCCCAATTGCCGGCTACGCAGAGGACTTTGAGCTGCTGCAGTTCGTCTATGACCTGAGCCTATGGAGCCGCATCGGGGGCGGCAAGAACGCCTGCAAGCACATCCCGTTGCGCCTGGTTTTGAAGGGGGAGACTTTCTCGCCGCTCTACTTCAAAACCCGGCACGCGGCGCTGATCGACCTCCAGCGGCAGTGTGGCCACCCGCAGATCTTCAAGACCATGGCGCCTTGGGAGCCCAGCTTCCCCTACCACGCCTGGATCCTCAACGACATGGTGCAGGCTGGGCGGCGACGTGGCGGGTCTATGGCGGAGGGCAAGCCGGAGCAGGAGCTGGCAGGCCTGGAGACGCTGCATCACGCCCACGTCTTCACGGAGTTAGAGCGGGGCCTCTACACGGGCATGAACAAGCGCAGCAGCGCGGACGGCGGGAAGACCCACCTCCTTGGCCCGACCGACGGCGGTTCCGAGACCAGCCAGGCCTTCTTCTTCAGGTTGGAGTACCAGGATGGCAAGCGCAAGGCGGCGACCCAGGCCTACCACGGCAGCGGCCGGGTCCACTGCCACAGCCTCAACTACTTGCGCGAGCCCAAGCGAGTTAAGCTTGAGGAGAAGATCCGGGCCACGGAGAGGCGGCGCTGCGGGGCTACGTGCTTGGAAGGCCGCGGCGGGAAGGCGCGGCGACGGGCTGGCCCATCCAGGAGGAGGAGTCCCACTGGGACGACACGGCGCAGCTCCTGCGGCTGAAGCATACGGCGGAGGACGCCGCGGCTGGGCACAGGGCCTACTTCCCCGACACCCTGGAGATCACGAAGTGCCACCAGGACGCGCTGCTCGGCAACGACCGGGGCCCGCTGCTCAAGTACTGCGCGACCTACACCCCGAAGTTCTCCGACGCGTTTCAGAAGGAGTGGCTGGCAGACGAGGCCTCGGCGTTCTCCGTGGCCCGCAGGGTGCTCTTCGACTACAAGCCCTGCGAGCCGGAAATGTGGCTCTACCTTGCGGCCAAGACCTTCCCCCGCTGCCGCTACAGCGGAACCATGGAAGAGCTGCGGGCGCCCTGGCCGGGCATGAAGGAGGAGGCCGTGCCAAAGATTGCCCAGCTCTACCAGGAGAGCGCCTGGCGCCGCGAGGACATGAGCCTCCTAGAGTTTGCCCGGAAGACGAACAAGAAGGGGGAGATCGCGCAGTGGGTCTGGAACAAGTGGAGCAAACAAGGCAGCGTCGAGAGTCTGGAGAACTTTGCCAACAGCTGTGAGATGGAGGGCGAGAAGCTCATTGCAGTGGAGATGGTCTCGGTGTTCAACGACCGCTACTTCGGCCAGTGGCTGGCGCTGCGGTCGCCTTTCCGAGCACTGGAGGAGTTGACGGATCCGGCCGTCGCTGAGAAGGTGCCGGAGGAGTATCGGCACCTTGGCAACGCACTCGCCCGCTGCCACGAGCACTGGAGCGATGAGGAGACGGTGACCAAGGAACTGGAGCTTGAGGCCATGGGCGTCGCCAAGGTCAAGTCCTTCCTCGCAAAGCTGAAGGCCGAGCGCCACCTTGTAGAGCAGTACCTGGCAGGTCAGATTGTCAAAGGAGACGCCGCAGGAGCCCGCCGCAGCCTGGAAGAAGCCGGCTTTCCAGTCCCGGGCGAGGGCTTGGAGCTCAACCGGCAGCAGCAGCTTCTGCGGGATAGCATCCTGGGCGACTCCGAGCGGGCAGCAAAGGCGCGGGCCGCGCAAGGTGTGGAAGAACTGGAGGATCTCCGCAAGGCTGCGCTCGAGAACGCAAGGCCGATTGCCGGGCTTGGCCCGCCCGGCACGGGCAAGACCACTGTAGTGAACGACTGCGTCGACCGGATACTGGAGGCCGGTGGCCGGGTGCTCTACGCGCTGCCAACTGCCCAGCTGGCGGCCAGGGTCCGCGCCAGACACCCTATGGCCGACGTGGACACCTGCGCCGCGGCGTTCTGGCTGTGGAAGGAAAGAGCCGACGAGCACTTGGACGCCTTGACGCAGTATGACTTGGTGGTGGTGGACGAGGTCTCGCAGCTGGACGCCAAGCAGTTTGAACGAATACTGCAGATGTGGGAAGCAGCCGACAAGCTGCCGGCGCTGGTCTTCGCCGGAGACTTCTGGCAGCTGCCCGGCGTCAACGACAGCCAGGCCACGGATAGCCCGAAGTGGCGAAGCGTCTTCGTGGTCAACCTGCACGAGATGTGGCGCTGTAAGGACCAGAAGCTGCGGAAGAAGCTGGAGCTCCTGCGGACGGCGGCCCCCACGCCCGAGCAGCTGGCAGACATCTGTCGGGGGCGCAAGGCTTGGACGCATGCCGGCGACCCCACTTTGGAGGAGATCGAGGAGGTGCTGCGCCGCCACCCAGACACGACGGTGGTCACCTGCACGCGGCAGAAAGCGGCGGTCGTGAACCAGCTCGTCATTCAAGCGCTCTTCGAGAAGCTGCGGAAGCCAGTCTTGGGACAGCTGGACCTGGACTGGGAAGCCAATCCCGCCAACTACGAAGAAGGCGGGCGGCGCAAGGAGGCCACGCCAAAGCCGCTCCAGCAAGAGATCTACGCAGGGATGCGAGTTCACCTGACACGAAACGTCAACAAGCAAGCGGATTTTGTGAATGGCATGGAGGCCACAGTTCGCAGCTTGGACCGCGCCTCGGGCTGCCTCCACGTGACCACAGCCACCGCTTTCCGTTGACAGACGAGCTGGACCATGACTGCGTGACATGCTACCCGGCCCGGCCAGGCTACGCAAGCAACATCCACAAGCTCCAAGGAGCCGAGCTCAGCCACGTGACCATCTGGCTGGACGTGAGGCGCTTCAAGGCTGGCGGCTACG